AAGGGGGATCGTTGGCGACCAGCACGAGCAATTCTGCTCTGACAGGATTCCGCGTTCACTACGTAACCTGGATCGTCACCACAGTTACTAGGTGGCTCTCGATTTTAAGGGTCGATCACTTCCGTCGCAATTTGAAGAACTTTTCTGACCTTGGTTCACTTTCTCGATTCTGTGCGGCAGTTAAAAATTATAACTTCGGTTCACGCACCGATAACTTGAACGTCTACTTCTTCCCGTAGTCAGACGGCTTCTCCCCTTTTGATCAAGATCGTCGTTTCCATCATTCGGCTTGCCAACCTCTCTCACGCTCGTTCTCTCCTACTCTCTGCATGTTCGGGAAACAGGAGTACCACTTTTTTTGTGTCAATAGAGGTGAGATGTGAGCCCTTATAGGCTCTCACGAAACAGCAGCAAAATTAGTACTTTTTTTTTTAAGGTTAATGCGGGCATTGCCGTCTTTTTTTATTATTTACATTTGTAACAATCACGCAAACTATACACATGTTTCTTAATTGTGTGTTTGCTAGATTGTATTAATCTTTTATTGTTCTTTTTTTGTGTTGTCTGCATGCATAGACTTACATTTATATTTTTGTGGTGCTGAGTAACTAATTATAGGGTTTATTGTTTTATGTTAGATTTAGTTATGTGTGCTGCAATCTGTTTTTTCGTGGATGACCACGGAGTCTTTTATATTATATAAACATATTTTTTTTTAATCTGTTTTGTACATGTTGATTCAATTCAGATAAAAACTCATACACTTATGTATTATATTTAAATACATGCACAAAACAGATCCCGTGCAGAAAACAAAACACATAACCTAGCTTAATTCTAGAGTACATATTTACATTGGTTGTATATACAATTATAGCTTCAGATAGAAAACTATGCAGCCACATCAATTCGATTAATCTACTACATAAGAAAATTACTAAATCTCTCAAAAAGAACGTGCAAACCTCCTACAGTGGGTCGACTTCCTTGTTGCCTTATTTAAGTCGGTAGCACATTAACAAATGTAGGGGAGTTCCCTTTGTTACATATGTCAATATTATGTTGTGAAATGAAATCAAATAGACACTCACCCCTTTTGTTGATTCCGGAGCTGCTCCATATCGTATGATGAGCGTTTGCATCACATCCGATGATAAAAGCCTTATTTTGGCTTCTGCAGTGAGAGACGAACGCTGCAACTTCTGGAGGAGGTGCATCTTCAATATCGCCGGGCAAATATGCGGATGCCACGTAGAGCATTGTTTTTTGCTGAAGCTGCCTTTGCGTGATGAAGGTTTTCTTGTTTAAACATTTGGGTGAGCTTGATATTTCTTGAAGGGCATATATAGCTGCCTTTATTCTAGTTTTGGTCGATGTCCAAGACAAACATCTTTATTCAAACTCGAATTTGATTCGGAGCATAAGGTGGGCAAAACAGAATTTCCAATATTCTTTGTTTCACTACTAACTTGAGGACACTCACCAGCATTGTGATAACATACCTCAACATTTGCAGTAGCATTGCAGCGTTCACTAGGTTCACTGTTAGTGATGCCGCTAGCTTCTGTGCCTCGTTGATTTGATTCACGCATCTCAGCGTCCTCGGAAATTTCGTGAATTCTCGAATTTGCATTGGACTGTTCTGAATAGCCCTTTTCCTTTTTTGCTCTTTTCCTGTTCTGATTCCTCGTTAGTTCCTGATTTCCTGGAGGATTTTTTTCTTAGATAGGCAACTCCGAATTTATAATCCACAGTGAAATCGCATTTTTCTAAAGTCTCCATCAACAGTCAAGACAAGTTCAACGTGATACTGTTTAACTGTATATCTTTTAAGGATCTTCCAAGCGTCAACCATTAATCCTTCATTTTGGCTTTCCACGAAGGCAAGGATATCGTCATTTGTGTCCTCTACACTTCGTGGAAAGAAACCCAGTAAAATTTCCGGCCTAGGTATGTCTTTTTCTTCAATTGCAATGAGGCATGCTTCTGCCCATGGCTTAATGCTGGGAGTTGTAGCCTTTAACCAGTCAACCGTATCCTGGTTTTTACAAATGACGATCATATGCCCTGGTCTGAAAAAGCAATTGTCGAACTTTGGTTTGGTTCTTTCCTTCCTTTGCTCTGCTACTTTTCTTAGTATTGCCTTGGGCAAGATTTCAATCCTGATAGAGTTTAATACCTCGCTATAAGATGCTTTTTTGAAGGCATTGATGGCCTGCTTAGGAGTAGACGATTGTCTAACATCTCCTCTTCTAGCTGTGTCCAGCCTTGACTGTACCGAGGACTTCGCTTGAGATGCATTTCCTGTATCAGAATGGAGAGCAACCCTTTTCGGTGGATTGGTTTCGCTCGAGTTAGACTCGCTCAACTCCGCATTTCTTCGACGCTTGTTCGGATCAGAATATGCTACTTTAAAAGGCTTCTCAGCCAGTACCCGAGCCTCATCATGGCTATGACCATGAGATATCAGGTATTTAAACCTCTTTTTTCCGGCTCCGTTGAGGCGTTTAGCCTTGTTATGGGATAGGGCCACATCCTCCGTGGGTGTTCCAGGGCCCTTGGAATTGAGCTGAGCAGAATTTTCAGCAGTAACAGCATTAGCATCAATAGCAGTAGCAACTGCCGTAGGAGCATTGAACTCCTTTCGCATCTTCTCACTTCAATACATTTCCTCGTGGGACTTAGCAGCAGGAGATACCGACAACAGAGTAACGTTAATACCGTCCTCATAATCGTCGTCATCATCGTAAACATCGTCGACATCATCACGCCTGGGTGAATCGAGGATTGACGAGCAACATGACTCTATTTCCTCCAGAGAGTTATTTCGCAACTGGACCTCTACATCGTTGATTTCTCTATCAACCTCCATCTCAATACGCACTCATGGTCTGCAATAACGGGGAGAAAAACATGTTTCGATGCCCTTTAGTTTTTAGATCAAAGGAATCATAGTTACTTCTTTCATTAGGATATTTATTAGGAGATCCACAGTAATGATGATGATGATATTATCAAAGCGAAGAATTAATTATTCATGTTGAGAAAGAAAATTAGCAGAGGAAACGTCTCTAATGTTGGCCTATGGATCTAAGATTGGGCCCATCGCTAAAAATCTACTATTTATCCATTTTATCTAGATGAACGCGTTATTGGGACGTTACAAATGGGTATTTTTGGTAGCTATTGAAAATTTAGTCGATTGCTGAATTTATGTATGGGCCCAAATTAGGGACACTTAGGCCGACATTACCTGCATTTCCCCTATATTTGAAATCTAACGTTAGAGTGAATACTAAACTACTTAAAAGGCTAGCTTACAATTATTTTATACATACGACCAGAATTTGATGTTTTACTAGATATACCAGATATACAAAAATAATAGAGATATGCTTTCAAAATATTTGAGTTTTACCAATTTTTTGAACTTCTTTTGAAAATTACTTATATAAAATTACCCTGTATATTTTTCCCAACAATACTTTACTCTTCTCAACCTTTTTTTTAGACGCCATTTTGATCAGAATTGACATTTTCGTGAAAAATGTCAAAGGCGCCATTTTGAAAAAAAAAAACGCATACAAATAGCTGATTTTTTTTAATGTAAATGACTGCTTATAAAAAAATAACCATTTTGAAAAGTTTCATGCAAATCGGAGAAGGTTGAGTCCACATTTAATTATTTTCTTGCTGTTTAGCCTGGAACTGCTACGCTAGGAAACAAATGAAGATCTAATAATTTATGTTTCTCATATATATTTTTTTCTTCTATGAGACTATTCGCTGTTAATCGGCTCATTGGAGTTTTCTTAGGCATTGAGCCATAAATAATAACCATATTGAGGGAGCTCTGGTAAATATTACGGTTAACTTCAGGTCGTAAAAAAATGGAAAAAGCAAAATCATCATCATTTGAATAAACTAAAATTCCCCTTCATTTTAAGACAACTAGGGTGCGGACCTACTTGGTCATACACTCAGGTCTTTTTACATGGGGAACATGTACCGTCTACACGAGTGCCGAATTGGTGCATTTTAAAAAAATTGTCTTTTTCACCAAAAACTGTAATTTTTCATTTGATTAACAATGACTTGAAACGTATCGTAATTAACAATAAGATAAACGACCGCATACTTACACTGACTGAAAAACTACAGATAAGGGGCTGGTATTCCCAGGCAATGTTTAGTTCTATGCGGTTTCCCATCCAAAATGCCGAATTGACGGCATGCTTTGAGTGTGTAGATCCGATTAGCTTGACTTTTATCAGCGACAACCACAGAAGCGACAATGAATTGATAGGACAATTGATCAATCGATAATCATTTTTAACTATCTTATCGAATACGGGAGCTGAGATGTTTTACAACTCCACCCGAGCAGCAACCGATAGCTAATCGATAACAAATGAAAATCTTAATGTGGTATGATACCAGATTTCTGTATACTTGTGGTATAAAACCTTGTAATTATATTATTCAGTTATCGAAATATTTTGTAAAATATCAAATGAATACCAAAATAACCAATTGTGATCGCTCAGTTTTTAGACAATAACACCTAAAAGAGTTATTGAATTGGTATTAGAAGACCTTCAAAATAACAAACTATGGTATTCTTGCATCTAAAAAAGCGTCTGTTACCTGTATGTTATTGTTATAACAAAATTATGCACCAGTTCGTTATTCATAGAACATTTTTGAGCTATAATTTTTGGTATTTTACCTCTTATTTCAGCCTCACTAATACCATATTTAGGTTGTCAGTTATGCTATTTTCATACCAGAATTTGGTATTAATAAGTTATTTTTTCCTGATCGGGCATCGCTGTTTGCTGTTAAATTAAACTGATATTTTAAGCATGTAAAGGGGCACCCAATACATGGATTATGTGTAGATTTAAAATTTCATAAATCATATCGACTGGTCAACGAATTCTCGTTTGTGTTATCAAAGCTGCTGCAGATAAGGCTACGCCGTATAAAAGCACTCACCTTGGCAGATCTTCCCCATTCTGAGTCGAATTGAAAGAGTAGAAGAAACATGAACCGTCTGAGTTTGTTGTTTGTGCTCGTTGGAGCGGTCGCCGTCTTCGGCACCAGTGAGTTTTTAATGGAAGCTGCTCAATTCGAGACCGACATATTTAATCCATGATTTTGGTTTATTTGTAGCTCTCCCAGCGGAATTCCTTGAATGGGAAGGTCGTATCGTCGGTGGCCAGAATGCCAACCCCGGACAGTTCCCGCACCAGGTTTCACTTCGTTCATCTGCCAACGCTCACTTCTGCGGTGGTTCGATCGTCAACACCCGTTATGTTTTGTCAGCTGCTCACTGCTCCCTTAACCACTTTTCTAACGACACTCGTGTAGTCGTCGGAGCTAACCTGTTGACCAGCGGTGGCATTACTCACTATTCGACTCGCTTCATCATCCACCAATCGTACAACAAAATAACTTACGCCAACGATATTATGCTGGTGCAGACCGCTCCGCCTATCGCATTCAATAACTTTGTTCGACCAATTGCTCTGGGAGCTACCTACATTACCACTGGCAGAAGTGCTCTGGTTTCCGGCTGGGGTAAATTGGTAGCAAATGGCAAAAACTCAAACAATCTGCAATGGCTGAACACCACAATCATCACTATGGCTGACTGCCGTAACCGTTTCGTTTTCAAGCCTGCCTACGCTGCCCGTGTCATCGACAACACCATCTGCACGCTGAACCCAAGCGGTCAGGGTACGTGCATGGGAGATTCCGGCGGTCCATTGACCTATGGACGCTACCTGCAGGGAGTCGTGTCATGGGGTATTCCCTGCGGTCAGGGATATCCTGATGTATATGCTCGTGTTTCTTTCCACCGTAAATGGATCTTGGAAAACGCCGTTTAAATTGCGATGACCTGATCTTTTGTTATTGTTGTGATAATAAATGATGGTTCGGAAAATTGTATACTTACATTGTTGGGAGCGAGCAGAAGAACATGGGAACAATCGCAGCCAACTACATTGCAAATAATGTAACTTTAATAACGTATAGCAAACGTATCCACTTATTTATCAACATACAAACAAATCTCACCTCTTCCGTGGCCCCTATGAGAAGGCGATGTGAGTTTTCCGCACCTTTATTAAGCACGGTTTAGACCAGTTTGATGAGGATATAGAAAATTCCATCATCACCTGGGGCTTTCATATTTTGAATATTTTTAGTTAAAGATCTTAATCATCAAACATATTTTCCTTACTAGTAAGACCCAAACTGAAACTCCCAAACTCCCTTTCAACAAGTTAAATAGCGCGTCTTCATTATTTTTAAGAGATCCCGCATTCCAATTCAAAATATTTACTGATTTGAAATCCATTACTGAATTTCAAAGTCATTACGATATTGTACGAAAATTTAGCTTCGGTTTGAATAACATCAAACATGGGATTTGTTTCCATCATATCGATTGACGATGTTTGCAAAAAAAAAACCATTTTAGGGGCAGTAATGCTACCTTAGTCAAAATCATCAAAATTTCCGTTATAATTATGTTGGCTAGAATTTTGATTTCGATTTCTACCAGCTGTATCATAGGTAGCTTCATTTACTTGCTGAACTTTGTAAGCAGCAGGTATAGATGAAGAATTTGAAGCAAGGGAGCTATTTGTATCTTTCTCTTTCTGTATCTTCGAAAAAAATCCAGCCTGCTCAGAAATTATCCTAAATAGCCAAGATTTCAGTTTGATCATTGTTCACGAAATTTTCAAAAACTCAACACGCAACAGATATGAAGTTCTTCAAATTTCCCTGAAGTTTCTACGAAATTCCTTGATATTCTATGAACTTCCTTGAACTTTCGCAAATTCCTCGGAAGATATTTCTTCAATCTTCAACTTGAATTTCTTTAATGATCTACGACCTTTCCTGAAGTTCTGTGAGCTTCTCTGATGTTTTGCAAATTTCTCTGATGATCTATCAACATTGCTGAAGTTCTGTGAAGCTCTCTGAAATTTTGCAAAATTTTTGATGATCTACGAATTTTCCTGACGTTCTGCAAATTTCTCTGATGATATACAAACTTTCTTTGAAGTTTTGCCAATACTCTGAAGTTACGCGTACTTCCCTGATGTTCTGTCTATGAACTTTCCTGAAGTTCTGCAAATTTATCTGATGATATGCATTCTAAGGGAAGTGAACTTATGCAATTTTTTTCTTAAGATTGACGAATTTTTTTTTAGACTCTATGAACTTCCGTGATCACCAGTGCACAGTTGAGCGTGGTGAAATTCGTGCAGTCCCGGTTGATTGTGTAAATCCGTATCACAAAATTACCCACCGATTCCTTTTTTTTTGCCGTTCGACGACGACGGGTGTGTTTTCGCGAGAGTGACGTTTATTGGATACGTTTCTTTGCGCTGGTGTGTTTTGCGATTTGCATTAAGTGTCGGCGATTGTGAGTAAGCTGAAGGATGCCAGCGCCGGTGGTAGTGGTAAGCGTGACTGCTTTCTAACACCCCGATGGGTCTGGGTTCAATCCCAGCCGAGGTCGGTGGGATTTTTCTGAGGCATAAAAATCTCTGGTCACGTCTTCCTTCGGAAGGGGAAGTAAAGCCGTTGTTCCCGGCCCATGTGTGTTGAATGGGTGTGATATCCTACGCAGGTGTGGAAGCTGCCTTCCTGCACATTCGATTGTCGTCAATGGATGTCCGTCGGTGATTGGCACTAGATTGCGGAACAGAGACCGACGTTAAATAAAGGAAATAAGAATAAGAATAAGAATAAGAATAAGAATAAGAATAAGAATAAGAATAAGAATAAGAATAAGAATAAGAATAAGAATAAGAATAAGAATAAGAATAAGAATAAGAATAAGAATAAGAATAAAGATAAGAATAAGAATAAGAATAAGAATAAGAATAAGAATAAGAATAAGAATAAGAATAAGAATAAGAATAAGAATAAGAATAAGAATAAGAATAAGAATAAGAATAAGAATAAGAATAAGAATAAGAATAAGAATAAGAATAAGAATAAGAATAAGAATAAGAATAAGAATAAGAATAAGAATAAGAATAAGAATAAGAAGAATAAGAATAAGAAGAAGAAGAAGAAGAAGAAGAAGAAGAAGGATGGTTCGCTGAATACGCCCAAGACTGAACGGGCGGTAGCTGGTGACCGTGAACGGTTCCTGGGGAAAGCAATAGATGTGACCCTCCTCCCAGATGACCATGGAAATGCAGGAAGTATTACAACAAAGGCACAGGGCGGACTCGATTATCCGGAGTCTTGAAAAAAATTTCACTCCGGATAATCGGGCTCTCCGGATAATCGAGCCATCCAAAAAAAAATTTTTTTTTTGGTCTTGTGTGGTCTCATTTAATGTTTTTAGTGGTCCTATTGAACGCTATTGAAGGAATATGGAATCGGACCACTGGTTTTGTAGATATGGCCGGAACAAGTTCCGGCATTTATGGGCCATGAGGCTAAATTTGACTTGAAAGGAACAAAACCCATTAAGCGACACATCAAATTAAATCAAAATTTGATATCAAGATCAAAGGTGACAAAAATTAAGTACCTTGGACCATATTGGCCACTTCCGGGCAAGTTCCAAGTGCCTCCGGAAAAGTGGCCAGAACCAGACTTGAATAATAACCTATCATGAGGCACATTAAAATACATCAAAATTCGATAAGAAGATCAATGGAATTGAACCCATGGACCATCCGCTTGAGAAGCGAACGTGTAGCCATCCACGCCATGGGACCCCTCAACTTGAGAAAAATCGTAGTCTCGCGACTCTCACGAGTGTGTAGAGACAAAATTGAGCTTGGCTAAAAATCACGGCTACCGTGAAGGCACCATATTTGAAGCGGTTCCTAACTTGACGCACTCGATCAATTTCGACAATTTTCCATTAATATTTTTGAAATGCTAACATTGCAAATATTAGTTCCGGTGCTCTAGGGATGATAGTGTAACAATTCAACTGATGGTTGCTGATAAACCGGCTGCAGGCGAAAATGAAGACGAGAATGCGGAATTCGATGTCATGTCTGATGCTGACATAGTCAATGCTGTTCTTAACCATGATTCACATTTTTATGAAGGAGAAAGCGTGACGAACACCACTCTGGATGAAACTGCAAACATTTCTACAGCAGATGACAACCAATATGAGGAGTACGAACCATTTCCAGATCAATCAGCGCTGAACAGTATTGACACTATCATCACATGGGCTGAGGAAAACCAATTGCCGTTGGAACGGCAGTTTTTACTTCGTGAAATCAGGGGAAATATTCTTGATAAAATAGTCAATAAGGATTGATTTATGATCAAATTTGCAATTCTCTTTGTTTTTACTGAATCACTTCACTGATGAACTACTGTTTTTACTGAAATGATGAATAAATGAATTAAACTACAAAATAATATAAGAAAATTCATATCAATTTTCAGGTATGAAGCCACCAAAAGACCAATTCTCACGAAACCCCCCTTTAACCCTCCGTTTCCCGCGCCAACATTTATAACACGAGTACTCGGGCTTTGTACTTTGTACAACAGTGTGAGTTTTCCATTGCCATTTTGCAGCCGAGCTACCAATCGATATGAAACCAACGGCTGTTTCATTAAAAAACTTGTTTTTAACTAAACAAGCTAAAATTTTATCACAGTTAACCCACAAAAATGCGGATAATAGAGAAAATGTGAATAGAAACCGCAGTTAACGGTGTTCGTACTATGTGGGATTGGAATTGGTTACAACATGGAAAATCTCGAGATCCTGACCTGATAAAAAATGACTGTCTTAGGCACGTTGTTCTAGAGATCATAATCATTTCGCTGGTGGAGAGTAGTTCAGAATTTTTCACTACGTAGCGCTAGAATACATGTGAAATTATCGCATGTGATTTATCTCGAGATCATAACCAGATAGAAAATTACTGTCGTCGACAAAGTTGTTCGGAAGGTCAAGGCCTTTTCGTTGGTGGACAGTAGTTCAGCGTTTGCTCACTTCGCGGCACTAGTATACATGTAAAATTCTCACATATATAAAATAATTCTAGATCCTTATCATATAAAAAGTTACTGTCTTCGGCAAAGTTTTTCAGGAAGTCCAGATCTTTTCGTTGGTGGAGTAGTTCAGGAAATTCTCACTACGTGGCGCTAGTATATACATGTAATTTTTGCATATACAATAGCTCGAGATCCTGAGCCGATAGAAGTTACTTCGGCAAACTTGTTCAGGGTGTCAAGTAGTTTTGGCTGGTGGACAGTAGTTCAGAATTTTCTCACTACAAGGCGCTAGTATAAACGTGAAATTCTCATATAAAATATCTCGAGATCCTGACCAGATAGAAAGTTACTGTCTTAGGCAAAGCTGTTCAAAATCTTCTCACTAGGTAGTGCTCGTATGCATGTTAAGTTCTCACATGTGATACATCACTAGATCCTGACGAGATAAAGAATAAATGACTTTAGCAAAGTTTTTCAGGAAGTCCAGATCTTTTCGTTGGTGGACAGTTGTTCAGAATTTTCTCCCTACTCGGTGCTAGTATACACATGCAATTCTCGCATATACAATAGCTCGAGATCCTGAGCAGATAGAAAGTTACTGTTTTCGGCAAACTTGTTCAGGGGGTCAAGACTTTTTGGCTGGTGGACAGTAGCCTAGAAATGTTTCACCACATGGCGCTAGTAAACGTGTACAATTCTCGCGTATGTTAAGCTCGAGATTCTCAACAGGTAGAAAATTACTGTCTTCGAAAAAGTTGTTCATGAGGTCAATGCCTATTGCGTGGTGCACAATAGTTCAGAATTTTCACACTACGTGGCGCTAGTATACACGCGAAATTCTCGCATGTAAAATATCTCGAGCTTCTGATCAGATGGATTTCTCTAGTGGACAGTAGTTCAAACTTTTCTCACTACGTAGCGCTAGA